CTTGAAGTGTATAAGACTATATAAAGATAGTAAGTATTTTTAGCACAAGCACTAATGACCAGGGATATTTTTGCAGTTCTCTAAGACTCAAAAAGTACACAGGGAGAAAAAAGGCCATTGCTCATTTTATAGAACAACTCTTAACAGTAAAACCTATCTCTGCAAATAGGGTAAAAGAAAAAGATTGGAAATAAAATTATTCCTCAAACCTCGGTGGCTGTGGCTTTTCCAAAACTTTTTACTGCTAATTCACAAGTAATTCTGGGTATACCAATGCCTCAGAGGGTTTTTGGTGATGCTTGGATTTTTTTTTTTTCACTATAAAGTACTATATTTACCTCTCATAGGTACTTAAACAAAGGATGCTACAGTCTAATTTGTATGCTGCTGACATGAAGATATTATGCAGGCTGTGCACTTGTGCTTGACCCTCACCTTTTGTCCTTTTAATCTCAATAGCAGTTGTAGAAGCAGTAGAGTAGTATTAGTGCTGGAATTAAGCATTTTAGTGTTCTTTTAACAAAGTTTAGCTTTCGGGACTGGGAACACTGTGCCACCAGCCAGATCTCTGTGTACGATCAGCAGGCCCTTTATAAACAGTGTATTAAGGTTTAAGAGTTGCTGAGAAAGGCCACGTGTTTTAGTCACATGTGCAGCTTTTTCAAGGAAGAGAGCAACTTGCTAATGTTTTTTCATTACATAAGCTGGGATGGTGGCCATCCTTCAAAAGGCTGCACAGAGCACGCTTCATTTCTATAAAAGAAACTCCTTAGATATTTTTAGGACTGCAAAAGTTAGTTGTTAAAGAAAAGGGTGAAATCAGGCTTTGTTTCTAAGAGAGAATGAAATCAACTGGAATCCTGCTAAACTGGGAATAACCAGGAACCTGGACAATGGAAGGCAGGGAAGAGTTCAACTGCAAGAGGCCCAGTACAGATCTAAGGTTGCTCTTACAAAGCAAGCAGGAACATGTTACCCTATCAAACACAGCCAGAGTCCTGGTCATCAGCACAAACACAGGAGACTGTTCTGTTCCAGAAAGGAAACAGATTATTATAAATGTAAAGCAATTTACCAGGTCAGATGCGAACAATTCTGAGCCTGTTACCCCCTCTTTCCTATTCCTTCCTCTCAGATTTCTACCAAGGACTCTTACAAACACATCTGCTTTCTGTTTTCCTCACTTTCCCCCGCTGTTTTGAAGCGGCCAAGGGTTGTCATCTCAACAAGGAATTTGTATTTTGTTTGGTCTCAACACTGGCTGTGGTACAAGTGACCGAATCTCATGTTGCAATAGTAGACTCTTGACCTCAGTGTCAATGAGAGCTGCGCTGGGTGTCACCAAAGCTGATGTCAGCTATTTGCACCTTGACTATTTTCTCCAGCTGGCTCCTCAGTTTGTTTCCATTTCAACTTTGGAAACTGAAAAGCTGCTTTCCACAGCTCCCTTTGTTTCTTCCCTGATTAGAATTAGCTGATAGAAAGTGAATGAAAATGTGTCTGTGTTCCCAAGGTCAGCGCTAAGCATCCAGGACTGCTCAGACCTTCCAAATCGGGGGAGCCTCCAGAGGATGCACTTGCTTTCTGCCCAGTTTGCGCCATCCCTCTGCTCCAGTGACTTCAGTCTTTTCGTTTTTCATTCCCCCCACGTCAACATATTTTCCATGCCAACATGTTTCACAACATACCAAGCTCTTTCTGCTATTTTGTATACATAATTAAGCAAAGCAAAAAAGCCTTTCATTACTACTCCTGCCTCTGAGATGTGGAGCTGGGATATGACTTCATCCTAGAAAAAATGCAAAACCAAACCCAAACCAGTTGTCTCCTGGGGTTTTCTTAGCTTTTAGATCATCATAAACATTTTGTGTGGTTTCAGTAACCGTGCCTAAAACAGACTCCATCAGGGTCAGCAGTAAAAAACTAAGACACAGTATTTTCTGAGATAGGGAGATTGTATAGCCTACTTCAATGTGTAAAGTGATGTTTCTCACGGCTCCCATGGGACCAGAAGCAAAATAAACATGCAACAATGAAGTGATAAGAGAGGAAAATTAAAAGAGCTTATTGGGCAAACCCAGTCTCTGGCAGTGCTTTGTTCACACTGACTGAATTATTACAAAATAGAAAATAACCCTCACATACCCAAATAAGATGACAAAAATTTACTGCAGTAATTCCTGAACTTGAGAGCCTCTATCACCGATTTCTTTTAAAGTTTTAATACATAAATAACATATTTCTATAAAAGTATTTTTTTCCTTTTGTTTCTAACACTCGGCCTGGGTGATTAGAAGGGAAGGAGTTTATCCAGAAGCACCAAGAGACATTTCCAAAACAACACCCACACAAAGGAAGTTCTCCACTTCTACTTTGCCTTAATAACTACTTTCTGTAAGGGACTTTTAACTTTTTTGCAGGAAATTGTTTTATTCTCACGGGATTGATTTAAAACCACTTTATGTATTGTACAGAGGAAAGAGTTATGAGTAGGGAGATATGTAAGGAGAGAAATGCTTGAGAAACAGTAATCAAGGTACAGGCATTTGAACTATTCAGCAGTTTAAAGAGGATTAAACCATCACGTTTCCAACTCCAAGCACATGTGAAATATCTGGTGTTTCATTTTTTAAGCAGCGTTCCCAGCTAGAGCTTTCTTCCATAAATCTTCAGTGTATTTTGCAACGAGTAGCTAAACCCTACATTAATTTTATATGTGGGGAAATAAAGTCAGTGATACACCCTCTGACACTAGCAATGACTCTCACAGTCTGGACACTGAGAGCACAGTTAGTGCTGGGCTAAAAACCCCTCCAGGCCTGCTTTTGTGACACTAACTGGGACAGGAGCTTCAAGATGTGTGTTACGTGCTGAATAGAGACAGTAACTGGAATCATTTATACACCATATAGCTTTGCCATTACACAGCTACTAGAAAAACATGTCACTATTTTAGACGCCAGGCAATAAAAGACATAAAGCCAAACGTTCCCATATTGTGGTGGAGACGGACACAGCACATGGCTGGGACTTTTTTGTTGTCTCTCCTGTTTTCGTGCAGTGAAAGTTCAGTGTTGACTCCACCGTCATAAAAAGCAGAAGCTGACCTTAACTGCTGTTTATTTTTTAAATAATGAAAGCTCAATATCTCCTATGATTTGCTGACTCATGAAGCTGAAGGTTTAAGAAGCAAAACACGATATAGACCATGATGCCCCAGTCCTGCGAATGATCACTGATACCCCGGCTTGAGGGTAGCCTTGGCATTACAATCCCCCACTGCCTCCACCTTTTGTAGCTGATCTCTCCTTACCTGAGGATTCATCTTTCTGGTCTTCTGTTGCCACTGCATTTTTCTTCAGATGATCTACTGTTTCACATAAACCTGAAAATAACTGTGCTTGTGGGTACTTTCAAGGTATTACAATTTGTTTTCTGTTTGTTTTTCAAGCACTGCAAAGACCTTTCTGATCTTTTACCACACACATTCCAGATGCAGGAGGCAGGAGACTGAGGCATCCCTGCTCTGCCTGAACCAAAGGAGAGTTTTTATCTCAAGAAGGAAGAATAAAGTTTACTTTGGGTTTCATACCTTCAAGAAAGAAACCTCACAACTCTTCCTTTTTGGAAATGACCTTAGCTTCTAGAAATATCAAAACATCATTCTGCTCAGGTGAGGAATTAAAACAAAGTCAGTGAGCCTATTCACACATTCAAAATCACGCCTCTTAGCTGCTTCGAGGGCCAGGCCCGTATTTTTTAAGTGGGTTGTCAAAATTGTCTCTATTATTGAACTTCCTTGACCTATACTTAAATAAAAGGGAATCCATAACATGAAACCTCCTGACAACACACTGGTGTCCCTGAGAGAAAGATCACTTGGTGCGAGGTTTGAGGTGGAACGGGCTATGGAACAGGGCAAGGGAGCTGCGGCGTGGCTCTTGGAAATCACTGGCAGGACGCGAGCCAGCCCTGCAGCCACTGCACGCTCACAGCTCAGTGTGCAGTGCTGATACACTGCTTTGCCAGCTATGCCCAGGAGCTGACCTCTGTGTCCTCCAGGATGCCAAGACAGAGATTAGAAGCGTTAATCCCAGTGTAACAAGAGGGCTCATTTTGTCCAGCCTATAAATAAGTTCAGCGATAATACAATCTCTTACTTTAAAAAGAATAAAAATGCATGGGTGGGGATGGGGACCCCAAAGCCAAATAAAAATTCACCAGGGTAACCTAAAAGCCAGTCCTGCTCTCAAGGTCACAGTGGTTTTTAGCAAATACATTATTTTTACTGAGGAATGGCAAAACTGTACTACTCAGTGGCACTAAACTTAGGTGCTTATAGGCTAGCTGCATTTTTTTCTCTAAGATATCATTAAATATCTGAGGAGCATAGGCATATCTCATTGTAGGAATGCCCTCATTACCAAAACACTGCTGCTCATGCCATCCCTCTCACAGAACTCTGTTCCTTTCATCTGCACTCAAAACACTTTTCTCTCCCAAGGAAAACTGTGAATTAATCTCTGTATGCTGCTGAAAAATTGATCTGTTGTTACTGAAAGGATGGCAATGACTACAGAAAGGGGACTGCTAAAGCAAGAGCTTATTGGTGCTTTTGATGTGTGACAGGTTGCCACTTCAATAAATAGTCATTTTTGTACCCACTAAGAGTGTGGCAATATGATTAAGTTGAAACTAATTTGGTTACCAGAACGTCATCCCAAAGATTTACACTTCTGATTCCTCCACAGTTTTAACTGAACTGATGGCTGTAACTGGTATCCACCCAAAACCTAGGTGTTCTCTGGCAAATCCTTGTCAAATTCCCACTGTAAATGCCAAAAACACAGCTCCATTTATTCATATCAGAGACTGACAGAGTGTCCCGTATCAGTTTTGGTTTTACTGTATGCTTGCATTTGGTAAGGGAAAAAACAACAACACACAAGTACCACAGTTTTATTACACAGGACGGACTCCCAAGGAGAACAGGGTTGGAATGAAATTACCTTTTCAATGACTGCAACTTCTCACCATTTTTGCATGATGTTCGGCTTCAGTCTGAATGTGAAGAGGAAATTTGAGATAAGTGATTTGTAAGTGCAGGGTGTTTTTCCAGTGTTGTTTCTATGGAACTGTGACAAGTACTGCCCTAGCCAGCCAGGCTGGCCGTGGAGCAGCACACTATCAATGACATACCTCTCTGTCTGTGGCTCCCCAGCTGCTGTGGCTCCCGTCTTTCCAACCGAACTTCAGCAAGGGATCACAGAACACAGGGCTTCCTGCGGTTCAGAAATGGTTTTATAAGCACAATTCTTATTTTCCTGAGGATTTCACTGGGGAAACAAGCTTGTGTAAGTAAATTCCCAGGTTTGCTTTGTCAGTGTTAATAGGGAAACTGTACATGGTCAATACATTTCACAGTGGGAAAACGTGCACTTCACGTTTCATTGATGGTTTCCTGTCCAGACCCATCCTTCTACCCCTTCTTTTCTGCCAGTACCCTTCAAACCTCCGCACAGTGTATTATTTGTGGAGATGCATCACTGGAATTCATACTTGGTATCAACGCTTTTCACAGTTATTTCATAGAAACCCAGAATTGTTAGGGTTGGAAGGGACCTCTGGAGATCATCCAGTCCAAGTCCTCTGCCAGGGCAGGGTCACTCAGAGCAAGTGGCACATCAGCACCTCCAGGTGGGTTTGGAAAGTCTCCAGAGAGGGAGACTCCAGGATCTCCCTGGAATTCCCCTTCTGGAAGCATGCCACAGACCCCGGAGCCTCCACAGTCTGGGCCGTGCAGGGCCACCTTTACCACCGCGATCCTCACCGTCTCCTCATCATACTGCTGCTGCTGCCAGACTCCTTCCCGAGGGCAGGTGTGTCGGCGAGGCCCGAGGGGCAGGGCCAGGCGGCGTGGAGCGGCGCTGAGGGGCCGTGGGGGCTGTGTGTGTCCCGCCGGGCGCGTCCCCTCAGCGATTCCCGACCCGTGCCCTCAGAGGGCGCGCGGCGCCGCGAGGGCGGGAAAGCGCCGCGGGGGAGCCCTGAGGGCGGGGGAGCCCTGAGGGGCGGGGAGCCCTGAGGGGCGGGGGGGGGCGGTCTCGCGCCGCGCCTCGCTCCCGCCGCACGTGCCGGCCCGGCCGCACTTCCGGCCGCGAGGGGCGGGGGAGGCCTCGCGCTTGCGCTCTGTGGCCGCGCGCCGGCGGGGCGGCCGCTCCCGGCACAGCGAGAGCCGTCCCCTCAGCCGCCCCGGGCGGCGCGGCTGCGGCTGCTCCCTCCTTCTCCTTCCTCCTCGCCCTCTTCCTCCTCCCTCCTCCTCCTCCTCTCCCCCCCCCCCTCAGCAGCCGGCGGCGGGTGAGGAGAAGCGGGGGCCGCGGCCGACATGTGAAACGGGGCAGCCCCCTCGTCGCCTCCTCGCCTCAGGCTCTTCTTCCCCGGCTCTTGCTGGGGCCCCGCTCGCCATGAAGAAGTTTTCCCGTATGCCCAAGTCCGAGGGGAGCGGCGGCGGCGGCGGGACGGCGTGCGGCGGCTCCGGCAGCGGCGTGGCCCTGGGCAGGGCGCTGGCGGTGGGGCGGTACCAGGTGACCCCCGAGGAGCCGCTGGCCGAAGGTGAGGACGGGCCGGTGCTGGGGGTTTGGGGGGTGCTGTTTCGGCCGTGGGGTCCTTAGGGCTCTCGGAGTTCCCCGGCACGCTGCCCTGGGTGAGCGAGGCGGGGTGAGGTGTCACCAGCGCCTGTGGCAGGCTTCTGCCGGCTAACATGAAAAAAAAAATAAAAAAAGCCACCAAAAAACAAAACAAAACAAAAAACCCCACAAACCCCACAAAAATAAAAGGCATGGCCTTCCTTGGTGTAGGGCAGCTGGTTGCTGTCAGGGTCACGAGTGGCAGTGCGGTGCTGGCAGCTTGCACTGTAGAGCCTCCCCTTGCTGCGGGGTGCTCGACTTGTGCCTTTTGTAGTGAACTTGCACTTCGTGTTGTCCGACCTCCACTGGGACTTGGGAAGGACCCTGTGAGTTTATATATCGTGAGATTGCCTAGGCTTTGTTAGCTGTACGACTTTGCTAGAACCCGGAGTGGGTCACCAGCAAATCAGCCATACTTGTGTTTTGCCCTCTGTGTGTGTGTGTGAAACAGTATGGTCTTCATCTCCCACAGCTGGTAACCCGTGTGATGTATAAAATGTATAAAGTCACTTCCCGGGTCACTGAGCTCAGGGTTAGATCTGTATACTTTATACTTACTGAGTGGTTACAACACGTGCTTTGGATATTGTGAGTAAAAATAATTCACCTTTGTCACTTTTATGTCTGTGTGTTGCTCAGACTACTTTATGTGTAAATATAGTTGTAGACTTTGATTGCATATGTACATTTCTGGATGAAGATTTTAAGAGAGAGCTTTAACAAGTGCATGCAGATAATATTACTGTTTAAAATAAGAACATATAGTGAGCATTTGTATTTTCGTTGCTATCTTGAAAAGGGTTATTGCAGAATAGCAGATCTGGAGCTTAGTATTTAGAATGCAATATTTTGTAATTGGGGTATGAAGATGATGTGAGAGGTTAGCCTGCTGCATACCTCGTGGCCTAAAGAGTGAGTAGTCCTTGCTGAGAGCTACTTCCAAGTCATTGTGAACTGATAGGCTGGAATTTCTCGGCAGGGCTGGTGGCAGGATAGAGACTTGTTAAAAAAAATAATGACAATAGGCTCCTGAACAAATTCAGGAGGTAACACAAACCCCGTATATGTAGTGAAAAGGAGAGCAACTGCACAGTGCTTGATTCAGTTTAACATATTATTAAAAAGTTTGCTCATAATGTGCTGTTTTAAGAGTCACTACAGATCACTTTTTCTTTCTGTAGCTGGCAGAAACAAATTGATAGTCCTTAAGGGCTTGGGGGCAGAGGGAGTCCAAATTTTAACATTTGAGTGTCATGCAAATTATCTTCCTTACTTTTGAGTCTGAAATAAGAGCTGAATATGGATGCTTGGGACAAAAACTGATAAGGGTCGGGGCAGTGTACGCTTACTGCAAACTGGGGAAAGTCTCTAAGCCAGCACCAGAGCTGTTCAGCAGAGAGGACCCAAGTGGGCCTGGAGGAAAGTAACAGGTGGGGTAATTGCATGGTTGGAGTCACAGGGACAGGAGGGAGTGGGGGGCTGCTGACTGGCAGCCCCCTGATTGTCAGGGAGCAGCTGGGCTTTAACAGGGTGGGCCTACTTGGGTGCTCCTTACTGACCCTAAAAAGTAGCTCTTCATCTAGGAATTACTTGTTGACAATCAATCTCTTGCCTTAGTAACCATTAATAGTAAGTAATTGTACATTACTGCTACTACATTAGTCATATTACTATCTGTAATTAATACTGAACGCTATAAAGCCTTTGCTTAGTAATTCTCTTGGGAGGGCAGAGAACAAACTTCATTCCCCTATCCTGTTTGCACAAGGCGTTTTTTTCTTTCAGTTTCTGAATCTCAGTTTAACTGAGGGTCTTACACGTGTCAGGTAGTTGCTGTTACTCAGTACTGATGAAATACCATTTAAGAGGTTCATATCCAAGTTACAGCTTGTGCTGTGAAGCGTTAATGACGCATGAAGTTAATCTAATGAACTTACCCAATCTATTTTGTAGGGGATATATGATGTTCTGATAGCAGTGGTATGGTATATTGGGGTGTTTTGTGTTTTTGTTGTTGTTGTTGGTCTTTTGTTTGTTTGGGTTTTTTGTTTTTGTTTTGTTTTTTGTTTGTTTTACTTACTGGGTTTAATAGCATTATGTGTCTGATTCAAATTGTTTAACCCCATCCTCCTTCCAGATTTTGCTCTGAGTATTCTTAGGAAGGCAGCTCCTGGTTCTGTAGAGGGTTGAGGCTCCCAGTAACTAGTGTTGGTCGTGGTTCTCTGAGGCTCAAGTCGTGATGACCTTGTTAGGCTACAGGGATGGATCTTTGGTAAGTTTGCCAAGTTGATACAAAGTTGCCTTCAAAGTGCTTTTCCTGTAGTCTTTGATGATTTTATTTCAGTGTTTTAAAGGCAGAAGTAAGGAGCATTATAATCTAGTTCTTTTAAATAAATATAACGTTATCTAAGGTAGCAGCATTCTTTTGAGTAAAGAAGGTATAAAGTTGAAGTGCTGTAGTTAGGAGGCTGTTGGGTGGCATCTTTTGTTTTAAACATACCTATTCTGTGGTGACTTCTTGGCCTCTGTAACCCAATGGTCAGTATGTTGTTGGATGGAGGTGTTTATTTTTTAAGGCTTATTTCTCAGACATGTGGTAAAAGCAGTTAGCTTGGGTTCAAGTTTGATGTAGAAAATGAGTTCTTATCCATTTTGAGGGAATGGTAGAACTATATGGAATGAATGACTGAGAGAGAGTGGAGGCTTTCTCTTTTCGTGTTTTTGTTGAACAAGAGTATCTGCAATTTAACTGAAGTTTGGAAAATTTAGTGACAAAAATATGGAGGGTTCTCTGTTGAAAGTTACAGGTGGTGCATGGTGACTCCAATATTGAAGAAGTTCAGAAATTGCAGCAAACTGAAGTGGCCAAGTATGAAACATGCCTTTAAATAGATCTCAAATGTTAATGCAAAACAATTTATGTTGTGAAGAGTGAAAAGGAAAGTGAAAATTAGCAAGTTCCCAAAACATTTTTGGCTCAAATAAGGAGGAGGTAGAAAGTTGTGACTTGATATGTAGAAACTACTAGTTCATTGTTTGCCTTGATTAGACTTCAGTAACTCTTTTTTGTTTAAGAACTGCAGTAAAACTGATTTTTCTGCTTTCTGTAAGGGTAGGCATTGGAAGATGCTAATTTGTCTTATCATCTTGATTACCTGGCAGGACTTGAGATGTTTAAACTGCATAAATAAACAAAGACCTTGCCAGGTTTCAAGTTCTCTTAGTACCACGAACAGACAGAAGGGGTTATAGTAAGTGTCATAATTCAATATGTGGGTATGTTTTTAACGAGTGCAGGTAAAACAGAGACAGTTGCAAGTGTTAAAAAAGAGACTGCATGTGCAATGTGCACTGGGCTTCCCAGCTTCCCTCTTGAACTTGACTGGCTTCATTTGTAAGCTCATTTGTGGGCAGGGAAAGACAGTCATCATCTGCTTTTCATTTTCACTCAGGATGGATTAATGGCATCATGGTGCATGTGCTGTTGCATCTTATAAAAATAAAACAGTGCTGTATCCAGCCCTAGTGTGGCTGATAAACTGCCACCAGCAGTTCACCCTCTCGCCGGGCAGTCCACGCTTATGAGAGCAGAGGTGAGATGCCAGACACTGACACAGGAGGAATGGAGTGACACTGCGTGCAGCTTGCTCCAGAAGTACCCAGAGGGGATGGAAAGGAGCTCTTCAGTGTCGGGAAGCTCTGGATGGGACAGGGTGAACATCATGTGTTACTGCTCTCATGCTGTAGCTTTCTCTCTTTTCTTTGCCCCAGTACATGTGGAAAGAAGCTGTGTGATAGTGGGTATACTGGTTTATTTGTTATCATTTGGACTGAGGAAGTGGTGAGTCTGGAGCTGTGTGGAGTTGAGCCCTCTGCTGCTGTAGCTTAGGAAGCTGTTGCTTTTTTGTGTGACCTTGTATCTAGGACTAGAGAGGTGGGGAAAAAAGCCACTCAAGAGGTGATTGCTTACAAGTTCATTGTTTAATGTTTGTATAACACAGAATGTTTGCTTCATTTATTAAATATGATGGTTAAAGCATAGTTTTCTGTGAAAAGGAGCCTCTCAATAGGGAGAAAAAGTAAAAGTCTTGAATATTCCCTTTATAAAATTTCAAGTGGCATGCTCTTTCTTTTATAGCTTATCTCACAGGGCAAGCTCTCAGTAAAACCCCATCCCGCTTGGCAAGTTTAGGGTAAGATAATTTGATTCACTCTGGGTTGTGTGTGAGAGAAACAACAAAATTCTTGGGAGGCTAAATAACAAACTGGTCATTAATGCCCGGAGGGTGAATGCCTTTCTTGCCCTTTAGCCCCTCTGAGGGTCAGCTTGACTTTGTCCCAGAGAACCTTTCTATAGCTCCAGGTTACACCAGCCCCATGGGCCGGTCCCCGCCATTTTGGGGCTAACAGAGGCCATGGGTCAGTCTCTGCCATTTTGGGGCAGGTCATGTGGTTGGCTCCCACCGCTTTGGACTGGAGCAGAGATTCGCTAAGGCTCCAGGGACAGGGAGGGAGCAGTGGCTGTCCCACCTATGCAGAGCTCACCCCATTCCCTCTGACTTCCCACCTGGTTGTTTTGAGCCAGTCAGTCATTCCTCCAGTCTCCTATACCAGTGAAGGAGTGAGCTTCTTGTGAGCTCTACTGTCCTTACTTAAATTGAGTGTGCAGTCTTTGCAATTACCTTGACAACGCTTTTTGGTTTGTTTCTTGAATTCACACAGTTTCAGTCAAGGCCTAAGAAAACTGTCACCTAAATGGAGAGGAATTCAGGTCCTGTTTGGTGAGATCTTGTGCTGTATGTTTGTAGATTTTTGTGCTGTTTAATTTTCAGTGCAAGTATCTATTCCTGGAGATTTTTCTTCAGTTAGTTGTCTAAGGGTAGAAGGGGAGTCTTCAAAAAGGATCAACATCACAGCAGTGCTTAA